TGTGTGTGTGTGCGCGCGCCACTGGCAACATTGGTTTCTTTACATATTGGTGCAGCTTAGCAGATGGGTGATGGTGGGAGACGCGGGGAGGAGGGGCAGTGATGGAGAAGGGAGGGTGTAAACAAGGGAGCAGGATGGGGGGGGTGGTCATCGGGGGGCGTGTGAGTGAGGGAGAGAGGAGAGGGTGGGGGGAGTTGATGATGATGGTGAGAGAAGGAGAGGGGGGGGCAGAGTGTGGAGGGGAAGAGGATGGAGGGAGAAAGGTATGAGAGGAGGAAGAGGGAGGTGGAGGATAGCAGATGGAGTTCACAGCAGTGTGAGATCAGTAATTAGTGTGTGTGTGTGTGTGTGTGTGTGTGTGTGTGTTCTCCTCTGACTGTGTGTCATGAACCGAACATTCATTAACTGTTAGTTGTCGTAGTAACTGCAACATCTTCATGATATTGTGTAAATCAGACTAAAGTAAAATTAGTAAAATGATTCCTCTGGATAGAAGTTTTTTCTTTCAGTATTTAGTTCTGGTCTGTAATAGTGCTTGTTCCTAATAAAAGTAATTCTCGAGAAAAAGGCACTTTGGCTGTTTTAGAAGAACATGACACGCTTCTTTTCTTCTCACAGTTTTATATCACGGCTAATAGCCAAGAGTTCAGTGTGTGTAATCCAGTTTTGTCTGGGTCTAACTTTTAGTCCACCTTCCTCCTCCTGTCCTGTGTCCAGCTGCGTCTATTAAAAACCACCCAGTTTCCAAATCCTGAAAAAGAACTAAGAAGCTTGTCTCACAGCTGTCTACAACTGGATTGGACTCAGAATTAGTATGTTGTAGTGTTTCCCATCACGTGTGCTGTCATCAGCGAGCCTACAGCCAGTGAAACAGATGATAGAGGCTCATGTATGGATGTGAAGTCTATCTTTCCTCCGTCCTGCTCACCAGCGCCATCCTCGCTTTCACTCTCTCTCCGGCTCGTGCCTGAGGTGTTGTGTAATGCCTACTCTAGCATACGCAGCAGTGGGAACGCGCGTGTGTGTGTGTGTGTGT